GCGGTGCTCAAGCGGTGCCAGTCCCAGGCGCGTGGCTCGGGCGGCCCCGCCGGCCCCGGGCCCACGGCACAAGGCGCTCGGGCGGCCCCAGCCCCGGCCCTGGGGCACATGCTGGCACCGGGTGCAAGGGCATCCCAGTCCCCTGACGTGCCCCCGGACGCGCGGCCCCACCCCCCGGGTGCCCGGCGCGTGAGTGGCCCCACCCCCGGGCGCCTCTATAGGTTGGGGACCACTGCCTTAGAGAGACAAGATAGGTGAGGTGATAGCCGGCCTTCAGGTAATTCTGTGTAGGCTCAAAATCTCGTCACTCTCTCCAACAGAAGTTGGTCCAATAGAAGATATTACCTCACCCACCTTCTCAATGTGAACTGGAGTCATTCAAAACACAGATAAAGTGTTTAGAGAGACAGGAATGCTGGAGAGAGAAGGATCAGTCCTCTGTTGAGCCTCTGACAGTGGCCTATGAAGTATTTCTAGGATGGAGACCTTGTCCCCCACATGTACCAGGAACATTTTAGTATTATCCCAGTCAAGGGCATTTCTTCATGTCCTCAGGAGGTGATCAGTTTATGTGAAGTGCAAAGATTGGCATGCCTTGCAACTGTTAGACTCCCTCATGACATTGTAAATGCTGTTCTTATTCATCTAAGTATCGAACATCTTTTGATTTTTTTTGTACACATTCTTTTGAATACAGCAGTGAGTTCCACACATTCATGTTTAGGAACTTGAGATGTTCTGAGATCTATATTTCATATCTACTTAAGTACATAAGAATGGCCATACTGAGTCAGATCAAATGTCCATCTAGCCCAATATCCTACCTGCCGACAGTGGCCAATATCAGATGCCCCAGAGGGAGGGAACACAACAGGTAATCATCACATGATCCCTCCCCTGTCATCCATTTCTACACAAACAAAGGCTAGGGACACCATTCCTACCCATCCTGGATAATAGCCATTGTTGAACCTAACTTCCATGAATCTATCTAGCTCTTTTTTGAACCCTGTTAAAGTCCTGGTCTTCACCACATCCTCTGGCAAGGAGTTACACAGGTTGACCGTGTGCTGAGTGAAGAAAAACTTCCTTTTGTTTGTTTTAAACCTAATGCTTATTAATTTCATTTGGTGACCCCTTCCTTCTGTACTTCCTAATAGCTGGGAAATGATGAGTATGAATAAGAGAAAATGTTCTCAAGGGCAACCACATATTCATTGAGGGATCATTATATGTCAAAAGAAATATGATCCAAAGGTAAGAGCAGAGAGCTAGGAAGACAGAATACCAGAGTCCTGGGTCTGGCTACCAATTCTGTCTGTGACTTTAGACAAATCATGTAAAAGGATACTATCAACTTAAAATTAGTCAGTTTAAAAAATGAATTAAAATAGTTTCAGGAACTACACCTGCCTGAGCCCCTTTCCTAACTTGTGGGGTTTTACAATCACTTTACAAAATTATCCTGTGTTGCAGTATGATTAAGACAAACCAAATAATACAGTCCACTGACTGCACAAAGTGCCATCTAAAGCACACGTTAATCTGAAAAAAATAATTTGTCTCCTTTTTTTCCTCTTATAATCATCTTGGATGTTACTTGTACTAGTGTTGATACAATTTTTTCAGGCATAAGCATGACTGTTAATTTGATCAACATCCTTTCAACGTTGTGCCCCAATTGATCCAGGTGTAACATATATACCTTCTAGTGCTTGTGATCTTTTAGCTTTTAGTGAAAGGAAGTATAAAGTACATGTATCTGAGACAGCTCATTTGCTGTGGCCCCATGTTTCTATTCAATAAATATTATCCATGGCTGCATCTACAGCACAATCTGTAATGGGGATGTCTGTACCAATGTGACAAAACTGATGTAAACCAGTGTAGATGCAGCCACACCAACCCAAATGCTATATTATGCTGGTGAAGCATGTCCGTGCTTGAGGAAGGGGGTTACATTGGTGTTGCTACACCAGTACAAATATCCCTCCAGCACAGAATACCCATATGGCAACAGGAGTCAGTGTACGTTACATAGACCTAATGTTCTTTCTGAAGATATATGTGGTGTACAGCATTGTTAAATTCATTTATGACATGGCTCTGCAATTTATCATCTACTTTTGACCACCTCACCTGTCTCCCCGCCGCTTCCTCCCCTCCGCCCCCCAATAGCCCATCTTGCTGGGGCTTATTCTAACATTCCAACAGATTCAAACAGCTGCCTTTTTAAAAAAATGAACCAGCTAGAGAAATGTTTCCTCCTTTCAAAGTTTCTTCCCACCCCCATGCATGGAATTTTACCCTCAAAATTATTCTAGCTAGAAGCCCCAGAACAAGTAAAATTTACTTCTCTACTAGTAAGAGTTTTTTTATATCTACAACTGTCAGTGCTTGAACTGCCACCTTGAATCTCACAGCATGGAAGAGCTAAACATTTGGGCTGTGTCTAGACTGGCAAGTTTTTGCGGAAAAACTTGCCAGCTGTCTACACTGGCTGCTTGAATTTCCGGAAAAGCACTGACAATCTCATGTAAGATCGTCAGTGCTTTTCCGGAAATACTATGCTGCTCCTGTTTGGGCAAAAGTTTTGTTACAGTGGCTACGTCTACACTGGCGGCTTCTTGTGCAAGAACTCCTTTGCAGAAGAGTTTGCAGATCGCAAAAATGGCGATCGGGGCTTTTTTGTGGAAAACCGCGTCTAGATTGGCCACGGATGCTTTTCCGCAAAAAGTGCTTTTGTGGAAAAGCATCCTGCCAATCTAGACGTGCTTTTCCAAAAATGCTTTTAACGGAAAACTGTTCCGTTAAAAGCATTTTCGGAAAATCATGCCAGTGTAGACGTAGCCTTGGAGCTTTATACTACATGGAAGAGAGATTCCAGCTTCCCAATGTGACAAGGCACTGGCTTCTAGTCCTGCAAGATACCAATATAGCATTATTTCAAGTTGTGACATTTTTATGTCTAGAAAGCTATTATAAGACATTTTAGAAGTTTTATGGTTCCCTCTGAGCCCACTATAGTAAGTCACGTATTAATGAAGGCACCTGGCTTTACAGGTGTTGCATAGCATTCTCATTGCATTTGGCTGATCTATAACTCAATCCCGGCTTCTCCACAGAAGAGTAACACCCCAACTTAAGTGGTTCCAACATTTTATCCTACCTTATTATGTATATGAGGTGGGATAAAATGCTGTAGCAATATATATAACATGGACTCCAAACTGCATAGTGAAATATCACCAGTGCAGAAGTTATTTAAAACTTTGGAAGTGATATAAACCAAACCAGAAAAAG